TTGAGCATGAAAATATTTTGGTATGTTTTAATGGGGTTCTGTTGTGTAAAACCACAGTGAGGGCTACTATGTAGTGTGTTTTAATAAAATCACTAAAGATATTCTGAAATCCACTGAATCACATAGCCATTAGATAATGAAAAGCCCTCGTAAAGGAGAACCATATTTTGGACGAAAAAGAGATTGTCCCAAACTTTAAAAGGTTTTTTGAAATATAGCTAAACAATGAAAAGTTTGTTTTAGGATAAATGATATGAATTTTGAGAACAAAATATTTCGGGCATAGTAGACACGGTGGCGGTGGCTGGTACCGTACAATGTCTTAGAACAACACTGTGTGATCCATAAATTAGAGTTTTGGTGATCGTGATGTGTATATGAAACGCATCCACTTTATGGGAGCAAATTCAAAAGAGAAATTTTTAAAGAAAACAGAGAATAGTTTTCATTGTATACTGAAAGATAATACGCGTGTCTTTACAAGACAGTAAATTTTTAGTCACGATTTTAAAACTAATGACATAAAACTCCGGTAGAAAGTCGTTATCCTACTTCTAGACAACAGTTAGCATGAAGCAAAAAGACTGAAACTTCGCAACATCCTTCAACCTTTTAACAAGAATTTAAGTATACTTTTATTCATAATACAAAGTAATATCTAGCATGTTTCAGCAGTTTCAGCACTGAAAGCCTTCTAAAAGGCTCTAGAGGGTTATCTTACTTTGTAAGTTAAAGCAGTAGTTTAAAGTTTAATTGAAAAGTTGTATACAGTTAACTCGGGAAGGTTCTCTAGCGTAAAATTATCTGTTCGTGTTTACTTAACCAGTGTAAAAATAGATTGTAGTTACTATGAATAAAGACCCCACTTTTTATATAATATTTTTTTTAATACCTACTAGAGAGTCACGTGGTTTAATTTGTATTCAGTGTACATATATAATTATGTCTATGTTCTTGTTTCATCCGTGTTCAGGTTCGACAATTAAGATTAATTAGAATAGACACGCGTTTCTGCCCCGCACAGCAAAACTTTGGAATGATCTTTGGGCGGGGGTATTCCCGAACTGATACGACCTACAAACCTTCAAGAAACGAGCGTACTTCTTGTTAAAAAGCCGGCAAGGCAACTGTGACTCGTCTGGTGTTGCGGGTGTCCATGGGCGGTGCCGATCGCTTACCATCAGGTGATGCGTCTGCTCGTTTGCCTCCCATTATACAATAAAAAAACACCATTTGGTTACTAAGGCAACTAATAGATATAAAATAATATTTATTGAAAATAACGACTAACTAATGTTAATGAACTAAGAAAAGCTCTACTAGTTTCAAGTGACCTCGGGGCTCTTGTTTATGAACAGCGTGCGTTTCCCGGCGACATCACGCAGCCAACTGAGTGAGTAAGTTGTTAATTTAAATTTTAGTATGTCTCACGACAGTTTCTAATCAAAAGACTCAATTGTTATGAAAATTGCATATCATTGGACTTATTCGGCTCTGTGGTGCTGACATTTGTAACAAAAATACAATTTTCTATTATTTGCTATAAGCTAGTCTTTCAATAAAGCAGCCTTTTTTTTGCAAGTCACTTTTACCTCAGTAAACAGCCTCCAAATAGCTTAGTAACAGACTATTCTAGATATTGTAGGTTAATGCTAAGGTTTTTATGAAACCCTAGTATCCCGAAGGCACCTTTACATTTCATTACGTTGGGCATGTACCCAAAAGGTCTACCTAATTCGTACATAATGAGGTTCTGTTGCTGAGAAACTGAGAAACAAAAGGTTTAATTGTATTTTATTAATTGCTTCACGCATTACGTACACTGAGATTATTATGTAAATGAGTTTTACTAATAAAGGCTTCATGCTAATAGGTGGGTAATTGTTCATTAAATATCCTACATTTTAGGTATATTAATATTTTAAACGCGAATGTTTGTATATAATTGTGTATAGATGATGTTTGTTCTTCATTCAGTTAAAGGCTACTGAACGGATTTTAAGGAAAATTAGTACAGAGTTAGAATATAGGAATAACATAGAATTTTTCGTCCAAGCCCAATAAAATGTTGCATAAGCGAGTGAAGGCGTGCCAGAGTCTAGTATTAAATATCATAGAAAACAAAACACAACCGTCGTTTCACGCCAATATTTGGCTCATTTGTGCCGAAGCTTAGCGCTTCCATAAAACTATACTTACCACACTTTTGCTTTCTTAAACTACATAGCATGGTGATATTTTTTAATGGAAATAAACAAAGTTTTAACTATTACATCAATAAAAAAGTGCTCTTCACGTGAATTAAACTGAAAATTGCTCTACTAGTTACAAGTCAAGTCAAAACAGAACAACATGTAAGTATTTCAAAAAAAACATTTATTTATTTGACGAAACACCTTATTTTAATAAGCTAATTATTACACTTTGTGATATACATAATTATATCATTTACTAGCTACTCTCACGCGGTTTCACCCACTGCTCGGCTTCATTTGATCGTAGCGTGATGTTTTATAGCCTATAGCACTCAGGAACATTGTAGCTATCTATCAGTGAAGTGAAGAATTTTAGCAATCCGACCAGCGGTTCCTAAGATTACCCCCTACATACAAACTTATAAATTTTACCTCTATATAATATTAGATTATGATTTGGCGCTAAAATTTAACTTCAGTAAAAAATAACACACAAAAAAATCGTTAGTAGAGAACTAGAAGCAAGTTTTCAAAAATAAACAGTGTGGTAGTGGTACGCTAACAAATTTTAACACAAACTCTACGCGGTAGAGTTTGCTCTACATAGAGCTCGTTAGTGGAACATCGTTAGTTGTGCTGTGCGGTCCAAACTATGTAGAGTTTGTGGAAATATGATAGAGCCGAGTCTTTGTTTTATTTTCAAGTGAGACCTTTTTATGAACAATTCAAAAATGGGACAAACATGTAGAGCGTCTAAAACATACTAGCGTTATAATTTTTTGTGTTATGCAACATTCATTGTACAGTCAGGGGTCAAAAATGCAATTACACTCTACCAATTTTAAAATGACTAAAATATCTTTGTATTAAAAGTTCAATGGTTCACAGCCAGTTTATTCAATAATTTAGATTCTATGCTATAAATTAAAGCAGTCCTCAACCTTTGACTCTATTCTACAAAGATATTTTGGTCATTTTAAAATTGGTAGAGTGCAATTGCATTTTTGACCCCTGACTGTACATAACACAAGTGAATGTGAATACAAAAAAGCTTAATTGATTGTGTTCGATACCTGCACGGAACAACTCTTTGTGTGCTCCACAAATGTTTAGCCTTTGTCTTTGTTTCATGTTTTTGCGAAATTGTATGTTTTTAAACGCACTCACTACACAGGGGCCAATCCGAGTGCGGTCCATCGTTTTTATCTTTCCATTAAAAATAGTTTAGGTTAGTAATAAGACAATAATTCAGAGTAAGGCAATACACCCCGCAATCGTATTTTGTCACTCGATTAAGGTCTGATTTTTCAATAGTCAGATAAATGTTATCTGAGGAATAAAATTGTTGCTGTCACTGTCTTTTATACAAACATTCTGACGCGACAGCATCATAATTATTCCCCAGGTAACTTTTATCTAACCATTGAAAGATCAGCCCCAAGTCAAACTTCAGTACGGTTCTTGAAACACAGAAATACTGGTCAAAAGATCAGTTTTAAAAATGGCGATTACGAATTCGATTTTCAATTGTCTGTTTTTCTATTTAAAAAAAACACACATCAATAAAAAGTACCTTCTCCCTAGAGCTGAAGAGTTGTCTAATACAATTATCGAAGACGAATGGGCAACACCAGGCCAACAGCAGAATACGGATTTTGGTCCCAGAGGAGTTCAGTTCTAAAAGCGATCCGACCCCCTTATCCTGTCACGTCGATCTTTGAATTTAAGTTTCATGTAGATATACATTCTGTTTATATACATTTTATTACCTTCTTTTGTAAATTATAAATTCTTGTTTGTTAAAAAAAATATTGAATATTAATCCAAACTAATATGTAATATAAATGCGAAAGTAACTCTGTCTCTTCTTCACGCCTAAACTACTGAACCGATTTTCGTGAAACTTGATACAAACGTAGTTTGGAACCCGAAAAAGGGCATAGGATAGCTTTTATACCAAAAATCTGCAGGAAGTCACTATTCCACGCGAACGGAGTCGCGGGCAATAGCTAGTTTACAATAAAACTATAACAGTTTAACTAACTGTGCGATTTTCCTGCTTCTACCTCATATACAATTTATAAAGTAATCAAATATTAATTATTTGTGCGATTTCAACGATATTTCCTCATTCTGCTTCGTACACTAAAACTGTGGAATGATCTGTCGGCGGCGGTATTTCTAAACCGATAACGCCTTGAAGCGTTCTCCTTCCTAAAGGTTGACAACGCACATGTGAAGTTGTGACTCCTCTGGTGTGGCGGATGGATGCCGGCCACTGCACTGCGCTCGACACTACTTTTTTACAATTAGATAATATATGGATTCTCTTTTGCCTCCTATTCCATTAAAACAGCTAGTAACCTAATAGTCATATCATAAAATGTTACTAAAAGTATTTAAACCACTACCACCACAATGCAACTACGTGCAGTTTGCAAACTAATAAACTAATATTAATATGGCTGTTCCCAAAACTCCAGAGCTGTGTATGAATATCAGCAACAATAGTGCTCCGCGGAGTCACACCTGCGATCGATAACACCTGCGTTACCATGGCAACGCCCCTTCGCCGCGGGCCATGTTGCGAGCGGAGAGCGGGAGCGGGGCCACCTACATGCGTACCTTTGTTTTTTGTTTTTGACAGTTGCCAAAACAGTTTTGGGGATAATAGGTCATAACATCATTAAAGCAAAGATAACAAATACACTATTTTTGTTAGATTTTGAGAGAGGTCAAACGCACTCAAATAACAAATAATACCCTACTCTATTTTCTCACTATTTGAGCTTATTGTTACCACAGATGGGACTAAACAGGGCCGGCTCGGAGCAGGAGAAAGAACGAGATGGTAATTAGTCAGTAAAAGTCTGTCAGTCCTCGCCCCACCCAGGACAAGTCAGGGAAAAGTCATTTGCTTGTATCCCCCAGAAAAAGGCAAAGACCCCTAACGAATTTCGGAAACCAAAAGCCTAGTAGGTAATTTAAGGCTATTGATTGCGAATGCTAAATCCAGTTGCTCGGCAGTTATGTTCGTGGCCATCCAAACAAATATTATAAATGTGAAAGTAACTCTGTCTGTCTGTCTTTTCTTCACGCCTAAATTATAGAACCGATTTCTGTGAAATTTGGTACAGACATACATTCAGTCAACAAAGTATCGGGAATGAATGTTTTTTTATGGTTCCAAATTCGAATTTTAATTTTTTTGTTGTTGTTAGATTGGCATAACTGTTTTCCATTTTGGCGCGGAATTTGAGTTACATCTGTTATTTATATTAAAAACAGTGCTGTTTTTAGTTTTATAATATCTAGTGTGTATTGCGAATTTCATAATGGACAAAAACATCGAACAAAGAGTTTGTCTTAAATTTTGCATCGCCAATGAAATTTCGTGTTCGGAGGCACTCAAAATGTTACAGAAGGCTTACGGTGAATCGACTTTATCAAAAACACGTGCTTATGAGTGGTATAAAGCGTTCAAAAGCGGTCGAGATGTGATGGAAGATTTGCCTCGTTCTGGTAGGCCATCAACGTCTGCAACTGAAGTTAACATCGCAAAAGTGAAGGAAATAGTGACTGAAAATCCTCATTCAAGTTTGAGAGAGATGGCCGAGGAACTTTCTGTATCTCACGAGTCGATCCGTACCATTTTAACAAATAATTTGGGTATGAAACGTGCTGCCGCTCGGCTAGTCCCAAAAGACCTGAATTTTCTTCAAAAACTAAATCGCATGAAAGTCGCCGAGGACATGCTAAAACGAGTCAATACCGACCCAACATTCATGAAACGCATTGTTACTGGTGACGAGACGTAGGTTTACGAGTTTGACATGCAAACTAGTCAACAAGCTTCGGAATGGCGCCTTCCAACTGAACCAAAACCGAAAAAACCACGTCAAAGTCGATCAAAAGTCAAAGTCATGTTGACTGCTTTCTTTGACTATCGCAGTGTTGTGCACTCAGAATTCTTGCCCGAAGGTCAAACGGTAAATAAAGAATATTATTTGAGCGTTATGCGGCGTTTAAGAGAACAAATTCGACGAAAAAGGCCAGAAATGTGGAAAGAAAATTCTTGGATTTTGCATCCCGATAATGCGCCTTCGCACAAGGCCATCATTGTAAACGATTTTTTGTCCAAACACTCAACAAACACCATCGAGCAGCCACCATATTCACCAGATATGGCTCCAGCCGACTTCTTTCTTTTTCCCACACTCAAATTACCCCTTCGTGGCACCCGTTTTCAATCGTTAGAAGACATAAAGGAGAATTCGCGGCGAGCACTGAACTCAATTCCGGAAACAGCGTTTAAAAAAAGTTTCGATGATTGGATTATTCGTTGGCGTAAGTGTATCATTTCTGAAGGAGCATACTTTGAAGGTGATAAAATAAATTTAGATGAATAACAAACATTTTGTTAACAAACATTGAGCCAAGCACGGCACGAATGGGTCGGCTCGGCCGGAGTGATACCACAGCCTCACAGAATTCCAGCGTAAAACAACCCACAGCGTTGTGTTTCGCCGTGTGAGTGAGGTTACCGGAGGCCCAATCCCTCCCCTTCCCCTATCCCTTACCAATGCTTATATCCGCAACCCCTATCCCCAAAAGGCCGGCAACGCACTCGTAACTCCTTTGGTGTTGCGGGTGTCCATGGGCGGCGGCGATTGCTTACCATCAGGTAATCCGTCTGCTCGTTTGCCGACTTATACCATAAAAAAACTCGAGAAAGGTCATAGGATAGTTTTATACCAAAAATCTGCAGCATTATGATTAATGCTCAAAGCAGTGGCACCACGCCTACTTAAAGTTAAACGATTGGCAATTTCAAACTTATAATAAGAAATTGTAAGTCCAGATTTCCTCACGATGTTTTCTTTCACCGTTGGTCAGTGCGTCACTGCTCTTCGTCAGTAAATAAGCTTTGAAATTACTTGTTTTGATCCCGCACCCATTAGTATGATAACCTGGTACTTAAGTTATAAATAATCTTGTATAAATGTTGGAAAACGCTGTGAGGTGTTCAACTTACCTTTAATATCTCAGAATTTTCAAGTCACATGAGCGCCATCTAGTGACTAAGTATATGAAATATGAATGAAAAGTCTCCTTTTAAAGTTTAACCAAGACATAGTAATTACATAATTAATTTCTTTAATAAAAGTTGTTATCTTTAACAATAACAACTTTATGCAAAAATAGAAACTAAAAGATATAGAATTAACTATACCTATTATAAGTCTGTCGGGTTGGAGGCGCGCTCGCTCGGCTAGTCGTGTTTTACCGGTAACGAAACCATAGCGCGATTCAGGATTCAAGCGGATTGTACAGCGCCATCTAGGGAGCTATGAGACAACTTTTCTAGCTCTTCTTACTTAGTTGCATATTTTGTTCATTTTGTTTGACATCAGTTTATTTTTACGATTAAAATGGTTTTATACCTGTATAAAGGTGTTTTAAATAAATTTTATAACTGTACTCAATTTTTTTTATGGTTGCGTGCATAGAGTTCTCTAAACATACCCAGAGCAATTATAAAGCTTACCAATCCAATCCGTAAATATAAACTTTCACGTTTTAAATATTATTACAGTTTTGTCCAGCTAGCATTAAACGAAGCAATAACTCGCTAGGGTTGAAAAATTCCAAAAACACATCACACAAGTAACATAATTAAGTTCCACCCGACACCCCTAGTCCACTGGACATTTTTTATTATATTAAAGCACTTCGTACGCGGGGGTGGGCAGTACTCTCGCCTGTAATTCACTTAGTTATCCTTTTTACAAGGTTTTTTATTGTAGGCACTAATGTTAGTCTAGGACTTTATACGGTACGTGAACTAACTCGATATTATGTTTTAAGTAGCACTTTAAATAAGATATGTACTTTAGAATCTACATAAGTTATGTAATGTATCTATATGTGATAGTTATTTATAATTATTCACTTCAATTCACGGGATCACGGGCCGAAGCCAACTCGCAGAGGCCATTTGAACAACTTTAATATTAATGAAATGGGACATCAGCCGGCAATTATCCCTGTAAGCACTATAAAAATGCACCCAAGGACAATCTGCGGTTGATGCAGGACTATTGTGCAATATGGTACACAATTATATGGCTGTGGGTGTGGGTGGGTATGGTATATATGATAACTATGGAAGTACTATGGTCCCTGACCCTGACTAAAATTTATACTTAGGTTAAACAGGCATAATACTGAGTGACTAATCAGTATTTATTGTGGTTAATTGGTTGTACTTCTTCAGATTGTCCATTCCATTTTTGTAGGTGTTTGATAATGTGAATAATAAAATATTAATGAAAATAAGACAAGAATAAAGGCATTTAACACGTCAATCCAGATTCTAGATTATCTCTATACGCATGCTCGTCGATTGAGACTCCTTTAATACGAACTTTTAGTAAAATATCACCTATTTGGTCGATAAATACCCGTCTAGGGCGCCCCCTACCGACTTCCTCAACCAAGCTGGCTCAATAAACCTCCTTTGTAAATATTCTAGTATCCACCCTTTCAATGTTAGCAACGAAACAACTTAACATACCTTTTTTAATTCTAGCCACATCTTTCGATTCCTATTTTAGAATCTGTTCTTATTAAAGTACAGTAAGTATATTAATACTTACTAGGTTTTTGATAATACGAGATAATGATTTACAGTTCTTTATTTTTTATGTACATAATATTTATAGTGGTAAGAAAGCAATCTAGCAGTAGATCACTTGATTGAGGGATTGAGGAAATTTAGGATAGGAATAGGATAGGTTTGGACAGTAACCTTAGTCCTGTGGCAAAACAACGAAAACATTGTTAACTCCGGTCGAGCTGGCATTTTCGTAACTATTGAGGCACATTTAAAATGAAGCAATAATTATTTTGTTTCCCAACATAATTATTATAAGTGTCCAATCACTGCACAAACACCATCATACCTCAACAGAATTTGTTTGGGTGAGCTATTGATTTTTCCAAAGTTTTTCACACGCGGGAGCTAAAAGACGAGCCCTGTGGGAACTTACACCTGTGGGACACAGCGATTTAATTACTTATTGAGGGCTAAAATATTATAGACCAAACAAACTCATACATTTTTAATAGGTTTCTTGTTTTAAAGTGCATTTACATTCTCACCAATCCCCATTGCCGCGGGCGGCTGAGAGACAAAGACTGGGTAATACGCTGTCTGATAAACCAGAAACAATCTCCAATCTAAAGCTATGTCGAAAGAATTTCAGGACTCCCGTTGTAGTCCTAAACTATGACAGATCACACGTCATCATCCTATAAGTACCAACTGCTGAGCAAATGTCTAGCCTACTACACCATCCTTGCTCAAGATGATTTGGCGATTTTAAAATTTTATTCGAAATTATTAATCCAGGACTTATCTAGCGTCAATAATTAGATCGAAAAATCTCACGAACTCATGCGTGTGCACTACGACAACTATCACGGGTTCTTGGTTTGATAAGTTTTATGCGACTTCTGAATGGAATATTCTCGATATTTTTTCGAGTAAGACGCAATATTGTTGAGGATTTATACTAAGAAGCTGCAAAAAGATTTCTAGACAAAAGAAGGAGCAGGAAATTCCTCATAAAATACTTTTATATCGTGGAAAAACTTAGCACCTTCTTAGCAAAAACTTTAATTACAAAAATAAACCAGTGCAAGTTTAAAATATCAGCGAATGTTGTCGCTAGGTAATGGCGTATCATAACAGAATTTATAATGAACCGAATCCTCGTGTGAAGCGACACCTGGCGGGGAAAATGTTAATGAAATAACTGCACCCTTCTGCAAGTGAGGGGTGATGAT